GTCTACTTTTTTACATGGTACAAGTATACATGTTTAGCAGTCATCTGTCTCACTCCTCTCTCTCTCTCTCTTTCTCACACTTGTTCTTTCTTTTTAGTTGTTTCCTCTGCTTAAGTCATATGCACTGGCTGTGTTTTCTTATGTGTAATGTCTAGGTCCATGTCTACGTATCCGTTTTTTTCGGATGCACTCGCACAGTTCTTAAGTCTGCTATCCGACCTGTGTTCTGTGCTTCCTGTCATGGATGCATTCATTTTCAGCGTGATCGCTGGTACTTTTTTTTTTTTTCTCTCTCTCTCTCTCTCTCTCTCTCTTTCTCTTTCTGCATCATATAGATGAATAGGACCCCCCCCCGGCCTGGGCCGTCCCACACTGCAGCCCTCGGGGTAAGCCCGCTGATGCCCCCCCCCTTTCGCTCCCCAGCAGCGGCCCGGAAAGGCCAAGCGGGTGCCAAACGAGCTAAGAGGGTTCCAAGAGGCCCCCAAGACGGCGCAAGAAGGTCCTGAGCTGCCCAAATACGACCTAGGAGGACTCCCAGAGCATTCCTCAGAGGGACCCAAGAGGCCCAAATCATTGAATTCGTACGGGCGGGTACACGTCACCACATTCAGGGGGAGGCGAAGGAGGAAAAGGAGGAGGATGGAGAGCGGGGAGAACGCGGAAAGCTCGAGTGTTGCAGCACGCTGCTGGCGACAGCAGGGGCGGACAAATGCTGCCCCCGGCGATCAAAATGCAACTACACAGAAACACACAGCGCGACCCGTGACAATTATTGTCTGGGCGGGCGTGAAAAACGTGAATGCCGCCACATATTCGCGCGCACGGACTCCGAAAAGCGAGGAAGAGGGGAGTAGGAGGAGGAGGAGGAGGAGGAGGAGGAGGAGGAGGAGGGAAGGGGAAGAGGGGGAAGGGACTGGGCAGCGCGCTTGCCAACAATTGCGGCTTGAAAGGAATGCCCAAGGGGACCGGGCATTCAGAAGCTTGTGGAGGCCTTTCTGGATGCCTCCTGGGAACCTCCGGGGACCTCCCCTCCGCGGACCTCTGGTGACCTGCGGGGGATATCGCTTCCGCCCTGGCCCCGGTGCCGGAAGCGTTATAATTTCCTCTGATGCGGGGGGGGGGGGAGGGGGGTTTACTGATTGCTTCCCAGGGTTAGCATGTACGACTTTTCAGCTCTCGCGGCTCTCAAGACGGCCCAAGAGGCTCCCAAGACTTCCCCAAGACAGCCCAAGACGTTCCCAAGAGGCCCCCGAGCCAGCCCAAGAGGGCTCCAAGACGGCCCAAAAGCCGCCTAAGACGGCCAAGTTGGCCCCAAAACGGCGCCCAAGACGACCCAAGAAGGCCCCGAGTCGCCCAAGACGGCCCAAGATGGCCCCAAGACGGTCCAAGAAGGCTCCGATGGGTCCCAAGGGACCTCCAAGAGTACTCTCAGGAGGGCCCCAAGAAGCCATAATCGTTGAATTCCGACGGGGGAACACACATGTTTATCATATGCAACTTTTCGGCCTTCACGGCTTTGAAGACGGCCCAAGAGGCTCCCAAGAGAGACCCTCAAGGCAGCCCAAGAGGGGGCCAAGACGGCCCAAGGGCTGCCCAACACGGCCCAAGTTAGCCCCAAAACGAGCCCCAAGAAGGCCCAAGAAGGCCCCGAGTCGCTCAAGACTGCCTAAGATGGCCCCAAGAAGGTCAAAGAAGGCTCCGAGACGTCCCAAGAGGCCTCCAAGAGCACCCCCAAGAGGATCCCAAGAGACCAAATTCGGTACACTCCTGCAGGCGAAACGTACATGTTAAGCACATACGATTTTGGGGCTTTCACGGCTTTGAAGACGGCCCAAGAGGCCCCGAAGACTTTCCCAAGCGAACCGAAGTCGCTCCCAAGATGCCCCCAAGATAGCCCCAGAGGGCGCCAAGACGGCCCAAGGGCCGACTAAGACGGCTCCAGGATGGGTCCAAGAGGGGAACTTCGACTCGAAAGTTGCAGCCTTCTGCCCAAAGAACCTCCCAGGAGGCCCCCAAAGTCTCCAAGAGGCTCCAAGAGGTCCCCAACACCCCAAGAGGCCCAAACGAGGCCCCAAGATGGCTCAAAACGGATATGACGGTCTCCAAGAGGTCTCCCAAAGGGGTCCGGAAAGGTCTTCCTGCCGATCAGGGCCCGACCGAGACCGGCGCAAAGGGAGGGGAGGAGGAGGGGCAAAAGGAGGAGGAGGAGGAACTTCAATATAGCTGTATTCCTCGGGGAAGATCGCGTCCAGCTCCTGCAGGATACCGCCGAGGCCATGCAACATTAGACATAAACATATGTATACATATTATCTAAATCTACATATCTCGATATACACATACACGTATACATGTATACATATATATACACCTACATCCTTATAGTTAAAAAGATATGCATCTACATGTTCAATGTACACATAACTGTTATTGAACATATCCATATACCGATACATACATACATGCATACACCCAAATAAAGACATACACCTATACACATACATCTACATACACGTATACATATGTCTGTACATACATATACGTACGCATGTGCATATATTTCTACACAGCCATTTACACAAACATATACATATACACATACACATACACACACGCCTACGTATACGTACACTTATACAGACACAACTATATAGACATATTTATACATACACCTACACATACATATACATGTACCGATGCAATGATATAACTATGCGAACACATACACAACTACACATACATATATATATATGTATATACATACATACATACATGTACATACACCTCTACCTATATATACACATAGATAATACTACGACGACGACTTCTTGGCCCATTCTTAGGTCGCTGTGGGATAGCCTCAGGAGGTCTTGGAAGTCACTTGGGCCGTTGGCGTAGTTCTTCGGCGCCCCAGAAGGATTGGTCACAAAATCAAGGTCTCCAAAGTTCGACCGTGAAGCCTAGCTAGAACCTAAGCGCGCGAAGCGAGCGTGGTTCTAGTGCATATAGTTATATAATGAGAGAGAGAGAGAGAGAGAGAGAGAGAGAGATCTTGTTTGTTTCTCCCTCTCTCTCTTGCTTTCTCTCTCTCTCTCGCTCTTGCCCTCCACCTCTCCACTCCATTCCGTCCCTTCCTCTGTCTCTCTCTTCTCATCCCGCTCTAGCTATGTTTACTTCGTCTGCCCGCTCAGCTCGATCTGCCCTCCATTCTCCAATTCTTCTTCCCTGCTCAGTCCAGCGCCCGATGTTGTGATCTGTGTTTTTTTTTCCGCCGTTAGCGACTCTCTCCTGCTGACCTTGGCGCAACGACCTGCGTGTTTGCCGCGGCTGGGAGTTCGAGAACCCGGGAACCGCACGGAGCCGCAGGGCTCGTTTCGATTCCTCCGATTCGATTCGATTCGATTCCGATGTATTCCGATTCCGACTCGATTCGACTTCGGGGTCCGATTTGGGCTCCGATTCCTTGCTGGAGCCCTACTAGCCCGCCGATTTACGCCGATTCGACTTTTCCCCGACTCGGCTGCCGATTTCCGCCGACTCGATTCTTTTCGATCGCCGATCTGACTTATCGACTCGATCCTGGGCTCTCTTGGAGCCGAGGCCCCCAGACCCGGAGCCAGGAACCCTGCCGCCCGCCGGAATCGGCCGGGCGCCGCCTCCAGAGCACGGAGCGCGGACTCTCAAGCAGTGGCGAAGCGTCCTGGCTCGCCTATAGCCCTACCAAACAATGTTCGAAGAACCTGACGTCACCTTGGCTCCTCCTCCTCCTCCTTCTCCTCCTCCTCCTCCTCCTCCTCCTCCTCATCCTCCTCCTCCTCCTCCCCAGCAAGGACCCCCAGGCCGCCCGCCGGAATCGGCCGGGCGTCGCCTCCAGAACACGGAGCGCGGACTCGCAAGCAGTGGGGCGAAGCGTCCTGGCTCGCCTATAGAAAACGACGCGAAGATCGGGACAAATCGGATCGGGATAACTCGAAATCTCTGAGAATCGGCGGGCTTGGAGGATGTATTGGGCGCCGCGGCCGCTCCAGAGCGTTCCGGAACGCTCTGAGAGCGCTCCGGAACGCTCTGGAGCGATTTACCCCGACCCTAGCCCTGTTTTACTATAGCCCTACCAAACAATGTTCGAATAACCTCTTCTGGTTGCCACGAGATGTTCTTAGACCATTTCTGGCGGAGGCTGTCTTGTCTCAACACATCGGATTAAGGTTCTAAGAACATTGTGTTTGTTCTGAGAACGTGTTTGGGTTCTAAGAACATTTCGTGGTAGGACTATAGAAATGCCGGGACGGTCGGTCCCTGCTCAAGTGGACGCGCTAACGGCGATGCAGGTAACAGCGATGTAGGCTTCGGTATTGTAGGTGGGAGTGCCTCGTGGCCAAACGAATTGTAGGACATCGTGGTTCGTGCTTTTCTGCAACTCGCCGCGTCGTCTTCGCTCGATACATTCGCACATCTGAGATGTAGGAAACGGTGTTTCGTGATTTCCTACAAATTGTTCTGCGCGAGCTCGGCGTCACAAAGTCGCATTCCCAACATCGCCGTTAACCGACATCGCCGTCAGCGCGGCCTTGGGCGGAACCGGCAACCTGGTAACCCGGTTGCCTTTCGACATCGGCCTGGCATTTTCGCCATTTCTTCGGTTTCCAGTATGACCGCTTCAGTGGAAGCATTTGATCGGGGAGTAGCTCTGGAGGCCCGACCTGTTCTGTTGCATCTTCGGGGGACCTCGCCTGTCCCAAAAATTGGTGTCTTTTTGGGGGTCCGACACGTGCTCGATGCGGATTTGGCTTGGATTCGACGCGGATTCGACACGGATCCGACGCGTCCGACATGGATTCGACACGCATTCGACGCGGACAGGGCCGCGACGGGACAGACAAGGTCCCCCGAGGATGCAACACAAGGTTGGGGAGTAGCTCTGGAGGCCCGATCTGTGGATCTTGGTGCGATTCGACCGGCCCGTGCCAGTCTCAAATCTGCCACGCGGGCCGCCGCCCCAGGAGCGGGGACTTTGCGGTGCGCGAGCTGTTCGAGGCTCCCACCTACTCCATCGTCAGGCGGCGTTTTTCTCTCCTTGTTGTTCCTCCCCTTCTCTCGGGGGTGGACAGAACCCCCAACAGTGACACGTCGATTAGTGAATTGTCCGTTTTCGGTTCTCGAGAGGGCGCCGTGGCCGTTATTTTACAGGCTTGCGCCCGCCAGGTTTGGGCCTCAGGTCGTTTTCACTAAACCACGTTTTGCTAAAGGGGGGTCTGTCCATCCCCGATTCTCGATCTCCCCACCAGTCTCCTCATCCTGCTCCTCCTCCTCCCGTCCCGGAACGACCCCCGTGCTGCTTCCGTGGAAACCTGCGGGGCGCACGGTCTGGAGTGGCCCGCCTGGCCTCTGGGAAAGACCCCCGCCCACCCCCATCCCCCCCTCTCACTCCAGCCCCGTTCGCAAGCCGTGCTCGATCCGCTGATGATGCTGATGCTGATGATGATGATGATGATGATGCTGATGATGATGATGATGATGATGATGATGATGATGATGATGATGGTGATGGTGATGCTGATGATGGTGATGGCTATGATGATGATGATGATGATGATGATGGTGATGATGGTGATGATGGTGATGATGATGATGATGATGATGATGATGATGGTGATGGTGATGGTGATGATGGTGATGGTGATGGTGATGATGATGATGATGCTGATGATGATGATGCTGATGATGATGATGGTGATGATGATGATTCTGATTCTGATGATGATGACGATGGTGATGGTGATGGAGACGGTGATGGTGGTGGTGATGGTGATGGTGATGGTGATGGTGCTGGTGATGATGGTGATGATGGTGATGATGGTGATGATGGTGATGATGGTGATGATGATGACGATGCTGATGATGATGGTGATGGTGATGGAGATGGTGATGGTGATGGTGATGGTGTTGGTGATGCCCTGCGCTTTGGGTGGGTTAGTCTAGGCTCGCTGGGCCTGCTCAACCTCAAAGAAATCAGGAAACACAGAGGGGCAATCCCCAGGAACGAACTCTGAAGACGGAGTTCCGAGACACCGAGACGAGACGGAGGCGGCGGGCCTCTTGCCTCGGGCACGGGAAGAGGCACTATCTGAATAGTCGCCAGGCTGAGACGGTGGAAGCGGCTACCCTAACTCCAAACCGAATCCGAAAGGATCGTAGTCGGCCACATCTTCGAGCTCGACCTCGACCCCCATCTCCTCCTCCCACTCGGGAGGGGGAAGGGGAGGAGGAGGAGGCGGGAGAGGGTCGGAGGACGTCAAAGGAGCGAGACGAGCGAGCAGAGACTCCGAGAACCCCGCCGAGCGATGGGGGAGGGATCTCAACACGGCACGCTTCTCGAGGACACGAACGATCGTGCGATGCTTAAAAAGTGGTCAGCTTAAATCAGTCCTTGGCTTTCTGAATCACCGAGGTCGGGAGGGGGTGTGGACAGGCGGCAGTAGCGGCAAGCTCATCTGCATTTTTGTTCAGCAACTCAGCGAGAGGGTGCACGGCGCCCCTATCCACTCCGTCCTCGCCCTGGTGCGCAAAGACATGCTCAATCTGAAACATCTCTGGCTTCGCGTCGATGGCCTGCTTGATTGTCACCCAGATGTCGGCCCAACTGCCTTCAGGCGGGTCACCACATTCAGTAGGTTCTGGAATTCACGTACACACTGAGCGTTATCACGGAAGATCCAGACTGGTTCTTCAGCCACTCGCACGACATGAAGAAGTGCGCGCTTCGGCTCTGGCGCTGCTCTGGCGTGGTCCATACAGCTTCGCATAGAAGTTGAGGCGGTGGGCGGGCGCCACAAACACAGCATAGCCTGCACGCGCGAGCCACGGGTTCTTGGGGAACCGACAAGCACAGTCCGTCGCCACCGCTAGCCAGCGCTTGCTGGAGTCGTCCACAATGTAGTTGGCACCCTGCTCTCCCATGTCGTCGTCGAAGGGTTGTGGAGGTCGGTGCGGTGGAGGTTCGGTCTCGGTCACCATCGCATTGTAGAGAGTGACCGTCTCCTCGTCCAAGTAGGTTAGCCCACAATGGCGTGTCGAAGGCGGCCAGGATTCCCGTTGTTGAGCTTGCGGTAGTTGAAGTAGTGGTTCTCGTTCGGCCTGCCAGCAGGGCCACTCCCACAGGATGTGTTCTCGAGTTTCCTGTTCCCCGTCGCAAAACCTGCATCGTGCCGGCGGGTCCTCTGAAAGGCTGGCTCGCTGGAGTGGTTGTTGTGTGTGGTCTCCGCCTGCAAGACAACAACCCGCGCTGCCACTTCGTGAGGCCGTACTTCTGACTAGTGGTTCTGAGCAACCACGTGTTGGCCACCATATCGAGGCCGTAGATATGCTTGGCGACGTAGCCAAGGTCGTTGCGGGTGTTAGGTATTCGGCGCAGGAACCAGCGGCGGTGTGCGTCGCGCAGGTGGTGCATGAGGAAGTCGCTGTTGCCTTCAAGCCAGTGGATGGTAGTCCCCAGGTCGGTTACGAGCACCTCGAATTGGGGCCATCGCCATCGGAGTTGGTGGAGCATCTTGACGAAAGTGCCGACAGGCCCAGGGTAGGCGCCATCCGCGTCCTGGATGTGGTGCCTGAGGTCCTCGACGTAGGTGCGCAGCCGTGGCACACGTAAGACCTGACGACGCACTGAGAGCATGACCTCGCGGTGGCTGATGGTGACAGGGTCGAGCAAGTGGCCTCTTAGGAGAACACTGAGCAGGATCCATTGGCACGTCCACTGTCGTCCCTTCGGCATGATGGTGGCGAACAATGCAGAGTAGTACTCGCGTATCTTGCGCTTGGATGGTGGTCCAAGGTCGGCCCCCACTGCTACCATAGATACCGCCATGGTTTGGGCAATCTCGGCCCGCTTGTTCATCGGTAGCGGGAGGCGTTGTGCACGTTGGAGGCGTTGAATGGCCGCAGAGATATGCTGGTCGAGGAGGCTGGAGTCGTCGTCGCCCCTGGCTACGATCTGGCTGCCCACGAGTCGGAAGGCGCGCTTGACTGGCAGGTGGTGTCCAAGGATCTGCGTGTCGCCCAGCTCTGCGACGGTGTCCTCGTCGGTAGTCCACGCCGCCAGTTTCCCCAGGTGAAGTTCTTGTCCTGAGAGTTTATCAAAGAGGAGTGATTACCGAAGGGATTCGCGTATACCTGGCATATCCCACAGCGTGGAATAGGAGTCGCCGGTGAATGTGATGGACAGCGAACGCGGTATCACCCGATGCTGTCTGGCCGTCCACACGTACATAAGGAGCTTTATGTCGTCAGTGCTGAAGGCGGAGCCCTGCAGGTGGCCGTTGGCGGTGCTCATGGCCTCGCTGTAGGTGCCCGGCACGCGTAAGTACTTGCGATGCTGTCGATCAAATGCCTGTCGGACTTGGAGGACACTGTCGGGGCATCCTGCGTGCCGTTGAAGATTTGTTGCACATATCTGTTACTCAGAGGTCGAAACATTTCTTGCGATCAAGCGCCAGGCCGTGGACCCGCTGCTCGGTGTGCCGCGACCACTCGGCCTGAAGAGCCAGGCTCGTTGAGACATCCGATAGTCGGGCTCCCGAGGCTGCCCCGAAACTAGCTGGGTGATACCACTTACGTCTTGAGGCCTCGAGCTTTCGGTGGATCGGGACCTCCCAAGAGCAAAGCCAAACAGACAACACAGAAAGCAAACGTTGCTCCTCATGAAAAATCCCCTCTCCCTTCCTTAAAGCGGGATTCGGCATATGGTAGAAAGCCGAAGGGACCTGACCCGAAGACTACATCGATCGAAGTGCCTCAGCGAACACAGCCAGGAGGTATGGCGGCAGAGCTTTAGCTTCCGCAGTCGCCCATCCATCGAGGCCGCCAGCCTTGCGAGAGGGCCGTGCCTGAAGAAAAGCGCAAACCTCAGCATCACTAAGGGAAGGCTCAGGGCATGGGCTCAGGGGTGGGAGTTCAGCTTCATATTCCGCTCGGAAGCCGGCCCAGGTCGGAGTCTATGAAGATCCTCGAATTTTGCACAGAATTGGCTCCCAGGTCATCTGCATGAGCTTTATCACATCTAGCGGGTTCGTGATAATGTCGTGGGTATCTGGCTTCTTGAGAAAGGTAGTGGGCTGTTGGGTTTGCGTTTTTACCCAGGCACAGACCTCTCGTCCTCCAGTCTGACAGGATGTGGAAATTCTCGATCGCCATCGACGGAGACGCTGACGTTGAGCTTCTGCTGCGTACCGTTCCTGTTCAGCTTGTGCTTGCCCAGCGGCTTCTCGAGCTTGTGCTGCCGCGGGCCAGCAAAATGGTGTCCACCATCCTGGCCAGCTGGCACGCGCTGGTTGGAGTTGGCGTACCTGCTTGCAGCAATTGGCCCAGAGCTGGTGGAAGAGCTGAGTGTCGATGCACCTACTAGGTCCTCTAGCTTCAACGCGCTCGGCCCTGCAGCTGAGTTCCATGAGGCGTCGGTAGAGCTTCGTGTACTGCCACTCGATCCTGGACATAGCGCCCTGACTCAGGGTAATGGGTGGGGCTGCCCATCCTTGCACGAACTTCGGCGGCTTGCCTCTGCCTCGGGCACCTTGTTTCGCGTGGCCCACGCAGCACAAGTCCAAGAAGTCCTCGGCCAAGGTGTTGGCGATGTCGAAGATGCGCTCGGGGACACCCTTGGCGCCGTTCAAGTCGGTAGCCTTCTTCGCGACGAGGTGCTCCCCAAGGTGTAGCTGCTCCTCGCGTGGCGTGAGGAGGTCCTGCACGTTGTAGAGCTTAGGTCGTTGCCATCGCCGAACGCGGCGGTGATTGGCGTCTGCGTTGAGTGTGACCTCAAGTCCGAGATGGCCTGGGCACTTGAAGTCGCGGATGAACTGGAAGTTGACAACCATCGCGTTGGCCCTATTAAGTGCGAACGCGTAGTCGATCCTGGAGGTGTGCTCGGAATTGTCGTAGCGGTTCCAGTTGGGGTCGCGTCCGTGTGTCATGGCGTGGCGGTCAGCGCACCCGTTGGCCACGTTGTTCCACCCGCCCTCCTGAGTGACCCAGTGGACGGACGGGGAGTCGCTGATGTCGCACAGGGCGCCCATGGTGATGAAGTACGGGGCAGCGGAGCCGCGAAGCGCCTCAGCCTGCCACACATCATTGAAATGGGTTTCGTTGGACTCCGTGGCCACACCGTAGACCGTGGCGGGGTAGTAGCCCGCGACGTGGCGGCCCTGCGAGGTGGGCATCGGAACGAAGACCTCCTTCCACCGTTGGGTTTGGAGGGGCCGCTCATGGGCAGGATGGCTGCTAGCCGCGGGCGCGATGGGCATGGCGAGCGGGCTCACAATAGCAACGCCCCCGTGGCTTGTCTGAATGCCTTTAACTGTGCACTGGTGCTTGCCGCGCTGCGCGGGGATGATGCGGCCGATTGATTCCAGAGGAGGGCCCCAGTGGGCCGTCCACCCATGTCGGTGTAGATGTTTATCCATATCAGGTTGTTGGCGTTGGGTGTGCCGCACTTCCTGGAGGGCAGCGACGGCGATGCCACTATCGCCCAAGGCGGTGAGGAGCCCCCAGTGCGCCTGGAGCGAGGTAACGTTCAAAGGGACGAACTCGTGCTGCTCAGGTCCGTCGCCCAGGGTTGAATCAGAATAGTGTCGTGCGCGGTGCCCCAGCGCAGCGCTCAGGTGACATATCAAGTAAGCCCAGAAGAACACAGAACTGCCACAAGGGAGCCGTTGTTTGCTCGACTGGCTGGGTGGGTGCGGCTGAGACGCTGACCTCTCGCAGTTGCTGATGCAGTCGCCCAGACTGGCTTCCCACGAAGCCGACGTTGTAGGACATTGATCAAGCCTGCAGCCACCCCAGTCGCTGCAGTACCCCAAAACTTGAGCACGTTGTCCGCTACCAAAATTATGCAAATGATCAAGTCGGTGTTGGCGGCTTTGATCTTGGTGTCCCCGTTCACGCACTTCCCATCGGAAGGTGGGACTGACCTTCCTCGGGCCCCGTCGTTGCTTGGTCCTCGGCGTTTTCTTGTCGGGGGCGTCGGCGTGCTCATCCTGCAAGTTCATCTTCTTGAGGATCTGTGCGAGACTACCCTGTATGGCGAGCTGGTTGGTATTGATGGTGTTGTTGAGCTCCACGTTGGCATGCTTCAACTCCCCCATGGCCGCTCCTGTGGTCTGTCTGGGCAACGTCGTTGAGCTTGGCGCCGAGGGCGGCGGTGGCGGTCTCCTGCTTGGCGATGGTGGTCTGCATGGCTTCCAGAGCGGCCGCTTGAGCGCGTGCGCTGGCTTCAAGAGCCTGAAAGCGCTGGTGCTCAGCGTCTGGGGGTCGAACAGGTGCAGGTGGTGGCATAGGGCCCTTGGTCTCGGGCTCGGGCGCGGCGTCCTGCTGGGCGGCTGCTGCTGGAACCTCTGGTGGCCTGCCTCGGAGCGCCGCGAGCCACGGCGGCGTGACAGATGCCATAGATGCTGGAGTGGTTCCTGACGGCGGTGCTGGAGGAGTAGCCGCGGGCAGCGCCGCGGCCAGCACGACGGCGGGTCCGTTAACAGGGTCGCCCCTGCCTGCCGCGGGATTCCCAGGGGTGATCTCCGTGACGACCCACGGGATGGACGCGCCGAACTTCCAGTACTTGTTGGCGGGCTCGGTATCGGAGCGAGCGATGGCGTAGTTGGTCTTCTCCGTGGCGTCGAAGCCGACGTGGGCGACCTCGGTGGTCCACCCGACCGATTGATCAGAATCTTGGATTTGGCTTTTGGTGGCGCGTCCGTTGGGAATGTTGCCGGTCCTCCACTTGCGGCCAGCTAGAGCCGCGGCCGTGCCGCGGATTGCTGTAGCTGCTTCGGGTGCCTGTGGGTGGCTCCGAAGAACTCGGAGTCCGAACTGACCGCGGACGCCCTTCGTGATGCCCAGCGCGGCCTCGTGCGACTTGGCGAGTGAATGAGCTTCCTGCATGGCGATGGTCTTGCTGCACCATACAGCGTCCACGCCTTCTGCTTCTCAGGCGACGCCCCGATGTATGAGAAGGCGAAGGTAATGCCCTGGTAGCCCGAGTACTTGAGAAGGGCCAGCTCCTGAGACGTCTCGATTGCCAAGAGGGCCCCGAGGGAGCGCTGGCCGTCTTGCCCGCCTGCACGCAGGAGTCGGCCCGGGTCGTCCAGCAGCTCGATATCGGGGCAGATCGCACTCAAGGTAGACTTGTTGACCTCCTTGAGGCCGACGTCTAAGGAGAGCTTCGCATCTGACCGTCGAGCCTGCTTCCATCGTTCGTTTGCGGTGCTGCCCAGCTTGTCACGCTTGTTGCCGCCGGTGACAATCGGCGCAGCTCCACTGAATTGACTGCTGAAGACCTCTTCTATAGTGGGGTTGACTAGGAGGGCGTCGGCTTCGTGAATAGTCATGCGCATGAAGACCGCGGTGCCGTCCGCGGCCTCGAGCTGGGCGAGGTTGGTGCGCATCTGAACCTCAGTCTCGCCGAACTGGTAGATGACCCCGTCCAGGAAATTCTTCCTCGGGACCTTTGCACCGTGTGGGACATTCAGGACTGGGATCTGCACTTTGGCGTGGGGCCACTGCGGGTTCCGCGTGCCAGTGGCGAGGATGGCGAGCGGCCCCTTCTGGCGCTGCAGGGCGGAGCACCACTTCTCGGCATCAACCGTGGAGTGCAGCGAGACGGAGGACTGGTAGTCACCGTTCGCTGTCTTCGTGGGCGCCTGTGCAACCGGGACGGTCCAGTCCTTCTCATCCAGGGCGATGGGCTGTGGCTCGGGCACGTTGCCCTTCCCCCGTCCTTTGGGGGTGTCCATGCTGTCCATGTTCCCGTTGGTCTTCGCGGTGGCACTCGAGATGCGCCGCTGGTGCTCATGGGTCCACGAGATCTAATTCTTGGCGAGCAGCTTCTGGAGCGCTCGCATCTGCTTGTCCTCTGGGGTTGAAGCCAGCATCTGGTCTAACCCTGTCTGATCCTTGTGTATGAGCTCGTTGTACGCTGCGACGGCACGATCGCCTCCAGCGCGCTGGATCAGATCTACTACCTTCGTTTTGCGAGCCGCGGGCCCGCTGATCTGCTGTGCTGCTAGCTTTGTCATCCCTGCTCGTCTGGATGGCAACGCACAAGGATCGCAAGAGAAACAACTGATCTTCTGCAGTGAATCGCTGTCGGTACCGCCAGGAGCACGATAAACGGACTCGGAGGGCAGATCGGAAGGGCTGCGCGCACTCGCTCCCCAGCGAGTTCGAGCCCATAGGTACTGATGGTGATAATGATGGTGATGATGGTGATGATGATGATGATGATGATGGTGATGGTGATGGTGATGGTGATGATGGTGATGGTGATGATGATGCTGATGCTGATGGTGATGATGATGACGACGGTGATGATGATGACGACGGTGATGGTGATGGTGACGGTGATGGTGATGGTGATGGTGGTGATGATGATGATGGTGATGATGAAGATGGTGATGGTGATGATGATGATGGTGGTGGTGGTGATGATGATGATGTTGATGATGATGCTGCTGCTGATGCTGATGCTGATGATGGTGGCGACGATGATGGTGATGGTGATGGCTATGGTGATGATGATGATGGTGATGATTGTGATGATGGTGATGGTGATGGAGATTGTGATGGTGATAAAGATGGTGATGGTGATGGTGATGATGGTGGTGATGATGAGGGTGATGGTGAATGTGACGGTGATGATGATGGTGATGGTTATGGTGATGGTGATGATGACGATGCTGGTGATGGTGATGGTGATGGTGATGGTGATGGCGATGGTAATGATGGTGATGATGATGGTGATGATGCTGATGGCGGAGATGGTGATGGTGATGGTGATGGTGATGATGGTGATGATGATGATGGTGATGGTGATGGTGATGATGGTGATGGTGATGATGATGCTGATGCTGGTGCTGATGGTGATGATGAAGACGACGATGATGGTGATGGTGATGGTGGTGGTGATGATGATGATGGTGATGTTGGTGATGATGATGGTGATGATGATGGTTATGGTGATGGTGATGGAGATGGTGATGGTGATATTGATGGTGATGGTGATGGTGATGATGGTGGTGATGATGATGGTGATGGTGCTGATGGTGATGGTAATGGTGATGATGATGACGGTGATGGTGAAGGAGATGGAGATGGTGATGGTGATGGTGATGGTGATGATGATGGTGCTCATGGTGATGATGGTGATGGCGATGATGGTGATGATGCTGATGCTGATGAGGAGGATGATGACGACGATGATTGTGATGGTGATGGTGATGGCGGTGGTGATGGTGATGGTGGTGATGATGATGATGGTGATGATGGTAATGGTGATGGTGATGGTGATGATGATGATGATGATGGTGTTGGCAATGGAGATGGTGATGGTGATGGTGATGGTGGTGGTGCTGGTGATGATGAAGATGATGATGGTGATGGTGATAGTGATGATTGTGGTGATGATGGTGATGATAATGACGATGGTGATGGAGATGGTGATGGTGATGATGGTGATGATAGTGATGATGATGGTGATGGTGATGATGATGATGATGATGATGGAGATGGAAATGGTGATGGTGATTGTGATGGTGATGGCTATGGTGATGGTGATGGTGATGGTGATGGTGATGATGGTGATGATGGTGATGGTGATGGTGATGGTGGTGATGGTGATGATGATGATGATGACGACGGTGATGGTGATGGTGACGGTGATGGTGATGGTGATGGTGGTGATGATGATGATGGTGATGATGATGATGGTGATGAAGATGGTGATGGTGATGATGTTGATGGTGGTTGTGGTGATGATGATGATGTTGATGATGGTGCTGCTGCTGATGCTGATGCTGATGATGGTGGCGACGATGATGGTGATGGTGATGGCTATGGTGATGATGATGATGGTGATGATTCTGATGATGGTGATGGAGATGGTGATGGTGATAAAGATGGTGATGGTGATGGTGATGATGGTGGTGATGATGAGGGTGATGGTGAATGTGACGGTGATGATGATGGTGATGGTTATGGTGATGGTGATGATGACGATGATGGTGATGGTGATGGTGATGGTGATGGCGATGGTGATGATGGTGATGATGATGGTGATGATGCTGATGGCGGAGATGGTGATGGTGATGGTGATGGTGATGGTGATGATGGTGATGATGATGATGATGGTGATGGTGATGGTGATGATGGTGATGGTGATGATGATGCTGATGCTGGTGCTGATGGTGATGATGAAGACGACGATGATGGTGATGGTGATGGTGATGGTGGTGATGATGATGATGGTGATGTTGGTGATGATGATGGTGATGATGATGGTTATGGTGATGGAGATGGTGGTGGTGATATTGATGGTGATGGTGATGGTGATGATGGTGGTGATGATGATGGTGATGGTGCTGATGGTGATGGTAATGGTGATGATGGTGACGGTGATGGTGAAGGAGATGGAGATGGTGATGGTGATGGTGATGGTGATGATGATGGTGCTGATGGTGATGATGGTGATGGCGATGATGGTGATGATGCTGATGCTGATGCGGAGGATGATGACGACGATGATTGTGATGGTGATGGTGATGGCGGTGGTGATGGTGATGGTGATGGTGGTGATGATGATGATGGTGATGCTGGTAATGGTGATGGTGATGGTGATGATGATGATGGTGGTGTTGGCAATGGAGATGGTGATGGTGATGGTGATGGTGGTGGTGCTGGTGATGATGGTGATGATGAAGATGATGATGGTGATGGTGATAGTGATGATTGTGGTGATGATGGTGATGATAATGACGATGGTGACGGAGATGGTGATGGTGATGGTGATGGTGATGGTTATGGTGATGATAGTGATGATGATGGTGATGGTGATGATGATGATGATGGTGATGGTGATGGTGATGGTGGTGATGGTGATGATGATGATGATGCTGATGCTGATGCTGATGCTGATGGTGCTGACGACGTTGTTGGTGATGGTGATGGTGATGGTGAGGATGATGATGATGGCAATGATGATGATACTCGTGATGGTGATGATGATGATAATGGAAATGGTGATGGTGACGATGATGATGCTGGCGGTGGTGATAGAGATGGTGATGGTGATGGTGTTTGTGATGGTGGTGGTGGTGATGATGATGATGTTGGTGATGGTGATGGTGATGGTGGTGATGGTGATGGTGATGATGATGATGATGGTGATGGTGATGGGGGCGGGGATGGTGATGGTGATTGTGATTGTGATGGTGATGGTGATTGTGTTGATGGTGATGATTGTGAAGGTGATGGCGATGGTGATGGTAGTGATGCTGATTGTGATGGTGATGGTGATGGTCATGGGGGTGATGGTGATGGTGATGATGATGATGGTGATGATGATGGTGGTGGTGATGGTGATGATGGTGATGATGATGATGATGGTGGTGGTGATGGTGATGACGACGATGATGGTGATGGTGATGGTGATGATGATGATTGTGATGATGATGGTGATGGTGATGATGATGGTGATGGTGATGCTGATGGTGATGGAGATTGTGATGGTGATGGTGATGGTGATGGTGGTGATGACGATGGTGATGGTGATGGTGATGTTGATGGTGATGGTGATGGTGATGGTGATGACGGTGATGGTGATGGTGATGGTGATGATGGTGGTGATGGTGATGGAGATGATGATGGTGATGGTGATGGTGATGGTGATGATGGGGATGATAGTGATGACGATGGTGATGATGATGATGGTGATGGTAATGGTGATGGTGACGGTGATGATGATGATGTTGATGGTGATGGTGATGATGGTGATGGTGATGATGATGCTGATGGTGATGGGGATGGTGATGATGATGCCGACGATGATGGTGATGGTGATGGTGATGGTGATGGTTATGATGGTGATGGTGATGATGGTGATGGTGATGATGGTGATGGTGATGATGATGATGGTGATGGTGATGGTGATGGTTATGAGGATGATGATGATGATGGTGATGGCGATGGGGATGATGATGGTGATTGTGATGGTGAATGTGATGGTGATGGTGATGGTGATGTTGATGGTGATGGTGATGGTGATGGTGATGACGGTGATGGTGATGGTGATGGTGATGATGGTGGTGATGGTGATGGAGATGATGGTGATGGTGATGGTGATGGTGATGATGGGGATGATAGTGATGACGATGGTGATGATGGTGATGGTGATGGTGATGGTGATAATGATGATGGTGATGGTGATGGAGATTGTGATGGTCATGGTGGTGGTGATGGTGATGGTGATGATTGGGATGATGGTGATGGTGATGATGGTGATGGTGATGGTGATGGATATGGCGATGGTGATGGTGATGGTGGTGGTGATGGTGATGGTGATGATGGTGATGATGATGATGATGGTGATGATGATGGTGATGATGGTGATGGTGATGGTGATGATTATGATGGTGATAGTGATGGAGATGGTGATGGTGATGGTGATGGTGATGGTGCTCATGGTGATGATGGTGATGTTGATGATGATGATGGTGATGGTGATGATGGTGATGGTGATGGAGATGATGGTGATGGTGATGGTGATGGTGATGGTGATGGTTGATGATGTGTGATGGTGGTGATGGTGATGGTGTGATGGTGATGGTGATGGTGATGATGATGATGGTGATGGAGATGGTTGATGGTGATGGTGATGGTGATGGTGATGGTGATGGTGATGGTGATGGTGATGATGATGATGATGGTGATGATGGTGATGGTGATGATGATGATGATGGTGATGGTGATT